TTTCTCAGGCATATTGAATAATACTGTTCTCAATTTTGTTTCCAATCAAATTACCGGTGAATTTATTCACCGGTGAAAATATTCACCGGTGAATAAATTCACCGATGCGAATTTTGACGGCTTCCCTAAGGAGAACGTCCTTTTATTTTGATCGATATTCAGGAGTGTTTTGAATGTGTGTGTCTAATGCACTACCATTGTTACGCATGAGATATGGACATCGAGCATTATGTTTACTTTTACCAGTCATGTCATGAAAACAAGAGAATTGTATAACAGTTACTCTAAGGTTACACCACGCAAATCTTTAATCGTGATTACTAAATTGTGGTTAAACTAGTAACCGTTACGTTACTCACGATGATTTTGAAAAGCTTGAGTAAAGATAATAATGTTCGGAAGATGATTATCTTTAATCGTGAGTAACTTTAACCGGCTCTATCAGAAAAAGCACCATGATGGCAGCGCTTGCATATGATTGCTCAACTGCAATAATTAACCAGCTGAACGTTGTTTTGTCTACTAAAGAATTTTTCTGGTATTACTATACTCTTTTAAAGATTAATGTATAATTTTATAATAATAATTTTTCTATTAAAAATGATTACGCGGAGTTACAAGAATAAAACGAAGGTGAAAAGATCGTGGTGGTCTGAGGAAGAAACAAACTTGTTGTTGAATTTGTTAAAAGATGAAAAGATATGGAAGACTATTTGGACGAGGTTGATTAGTTTTCCAGAAAGTTGGATCTTTGAAGGGCTAAGTTAAATATATTAAACACGATGAAACAGGTAAAGAAACAATTCATTTTGTTTCGCGTTGTCATAAACATTGTTATTTGGAAAATGTTGCGGATGAAGTTGTTAACAATGATGCTCTGAAAGATTGTACTGCAATGGATGAGAATGGTAAATGTACTATGTGTGGTTACTTATGGAATAAACATAAACATATAACGTATGAAATTAATCATACACTTAGCTATGTTCTATTGAGAGAACATACTGATGAAAAAGGTAACGATAAAGTTGATAATCATTCATATAGAATTTGCGTACAAACTGCATTCATCCAATCCATCCCAACAGTTGATAAACGATCTAGAATTAAACAAAGAAATATGTGAAATTTGTGTTTAGCATTGGTAAAAAATGCTATGTCATCTGTGAATGACTCCTTATTATTGAATCATATGTAAAAGCTTTAGAAAATCGTATTTTCAAATTAAAACAAGAGCAACAATTAGTAATTGATATATGTACAAAGCTATCATTGTTTTCGAAAAAATATTCAATAATACCTTATAATGACGATATAATTGAATATATCCGATATTTTATTCTCGAAGAACAAACAAAACAAAATGTTGGTTCACAAAACAAACACATAATTGATGGTCTTGAGCAAATGATTAATGATTATCAAACAACAAATTGATATATTACAACAACAACAATCAGAGCAGCAAGAAAATGAACAAAATTTATTACAAAATGTTATCGAATTACCGCAGATACTGGAATTAATTGAACGTTTATACTCATTACATTAAATGGTAAATATATCAGAAAACAAATTAATTGTATTAGAAAAAGTCAATCAAAACACATACATCAACGAGAAAAGTTTTATTAGTTACCCAAAGATAATAATAGTAATTATAGAATTATTTATTTCTTCAATTTGTTCTTCAAATTCTTTTAAGTTTTAAATTTTAAATTTTGTCTTAATGTAATGAATTTAATATTAATTGCATCTTTAACATTTGAATATTCTTCGAGTGCTTGTTCCATAGTTTGTTGTATACGTTTTGTTTCATCATTATTTAGTTTTGATGTTGTATTACATATTAGTTTACTAAATAATAAACCATTTCGTTCTAATTTATCAATAAATTGTCCATGTTCATTTATTTCTTTTGTTAAATCATTTAGTTTATTATCAATATGATCATTTAATTGTGGTTGGTGTTCAAGAATATCTAATTCATTTAAAATAAATGGAAATCATTCTTCTAATTCTAAAGCAGCATCCGAAAATAATGTACAATATAATTTAGCTAGTTCATATTTTAATTGAATATCAAAGCCAATTTTACGTAAAATATCATATTATTTAAATAAATCATTTAACATTGGTTCTAATACATCAACATCATCCATTTGATCAACTAAATCCAGAAGAGAAAATGGATAATTAATTGATTAATGAGAGTCTAATAAAAATATTACCTAAAATTGCTCGAAGCTCTTGTTCATAATGTGGAAATTTATCATTTAATTGTGTTATCCTTTGCATTTTTGAACATATTTCACTTGTTCGGGATATTTTTTCTGTTGATTTAAGCAAAATATTTTGTGGTTGAGAAAATAAACTTAAAAATTGTTCTTCAATTGTTGGTTCTAAATCCACTGTTAACAAATAGTTCAACAATTTTTCTACTAATGGTAATTATAATTTTTGAATATTCATATTCAAGTCGAGTTTTAATTAAGTTTAATTAAGTTTAATTAACTTATTTCATTTATCTGATGCTTGCTCATTTTTATCAAATATTTGTTCAATTGGTGGTATATGTCGAGTATCTTCCTCATTGATATGTTTTAATAAATTTTCAATTGTTTATTGATGTTGAATTAAATATTGTTTAACATGTTCATATTTATCAATAAATATTTTAAAACGATCATATTCATCAATTTGAAGAGTATTAACATCAAAACTCGTTTCCAAATTTAATCTAATTGTTGCACATTTAAGATGATATTGTTTCACAATGGGTAAAAGTAATGATGAAGACATTTGATCTAAAGTCTAAAAGAAAACAAGATATTTGGTGAATGAACAGAGATGTCTAGTGATGTAAGCCGATGAGAGAAAACGGTGACTGACAATTTTCGAACAGGAAAGAAAACTCACAGAAATCATACAATAAAAAACAGTGTTTAGTTTTAACGTATGGCAGTAGTCGTGTATGATTACTAACAACTACGATCACTTTGATGTCACAGAAATCAACAAGAACGAACATATTCAAGAAAAAGCATACTCGAGAAAAAGACATTTCATTTACCAAATACGGTTGCATTTTCAACACATCCTAGTTGTCTCGTATCAATATTTTCTAGCTCGAATATATTTAACGTTCAGAAAGGTCGAGAAAAAGAGCTCAATATTTAGTCCACTTTTTCGCCTTCAATGGGGACAAGTCAACTGATATGTTCACTCGTGTTCTAATAGCGAAAACGTCATAGATATGTAAAGTACATTTTAACAGTAATTGTAATTGATTATAAATATTAATAATTGGTTTTTGTTGTTCATCTAACAATGCACTGGTAATTAACATTTGACCATTGTGATACCGTTGTTGTTGTCTATCAGTCATTGTTACATACGTATCAATTATTTGTTGAATATTATTTAGTTTATCATGTATCAATTTTAATTGTTCCAATATGACTAAACGATGATCAATTTGTTTTAATAAATAATCTTTATCATTACTCTTCGCATCATTATCAAATATTAAAATTGATTTTTTCATAAAATTCGACTTATTCAATACTAAAATAATCTGTTCTCGATTATTAAAGCATAGTGTGCTCAATGAACTTTCACAAATTTTTCTCAAATTTTCAGAGCAGCTAGAAAAATATGTCCTGAACATTTTTGTCTCTTGACATTTTTTCCAAAGTGCTTTCCCTCGACGCTAGAGAGCTTGCGAAAAACTTGATTTTGCAGGTGAAAATTTTGTGTACGTTATAATTACGTCAAATCCAATGCAAATGAGCTAAAATTTTTGCCAGAGCTATCCTGGTATGAGTACTATCCATGATAAAAATTTGAGCTTATTTGAGTCAAGCGTTCTCCAGTAATAGTTTATTCTTTAGACATAGACAAAACGTTATCGGCCGTTTTGTAACCGAGCTATTTGTAACCGAAGATGATCCGTTTGAAGGGCTCTCTACGGTTTCGTGAAGTAGACCCAAAGTACTACCATGAACCGTCGTTGAATTTTTGGTTAGATGATGGAAAACACTAGGGGGCCTCTTGTCAAAAATCCGCCGCACCCCGGAAAAAAAAAATTC